GGTTGTTCGGTCGCTTAGGCTTTTATGTATATAGATCCAGATACTTAGACTCCACATCACATCTAATGGAACAAAATTTTGTATTTTTAATAAATTCCTAGAGATTCTTACACATATTGAAATTGGAGAGACACAGGTGTAAACTTTATTTCCTCTTCCCAAGATGATGTAAGCTCTATGACCACAGAAGCATTGTTTAGTTTATTGCCAGTGTCTGGCTCAGAGCTTTCAATAAATATTTATTGCTTGAATGAATGAAACTCATCCATCAGTGGATAGGATACTCTACTCTTCATGACTTTTTGTTAAATTAAGACAGATAAGATTTGTTTATGTCAGCTTGCCAATTCTCAGCTTGCAAATGTTTTATGCATTACTATGAAACACAAAGAGGTTATATTGCTGCAATACCTTTTTAACCTATCATCCTGGAAAAAAGGATGATATTTATAAAATATGCCTGCCAAACACAATTTATATGAGCTACCCCCAGTCATTTTTCATTTGCTACAATATTGCCCATTAGTTTCATGTAGCTTAACATCTATCTTACTCAAGGTAGTGAAACTCAATGGAAAAAATAAGCTTGAGCCAATGTGCATTTGGCAGCTTTGTTTTTTTGTTTAGACATTATCTAGATTTGGACATACAAGCTGTATGATAAAATGGGAACCTTGAATTTTTTGTGGTAGTGCTCAGGTTTGTTAGTATTAAGGCTATTTTTCCACTGTACATTCCTGTACTTTTGCATAGAACAGTAATTGGCCTTCAAAGGGAATTTTCAGAAGTGGAAATTAAATGAAAGTGAGTAGAATGATAATAGCAAACATTTAATATAGCAATATGTGCAAGGTTGGCTGACATGGCAGCATTCACACTAGACTTTAGACTTTTTAGGACAGTGGTATTGAGGAGAAGTCTCTGGTCTCAGGAATGGAGACAGCATCTAGTGCATTCTGTGGCATTGCAAATGGATCTTCCAGGCTGAATGTCAGACTCCAACCTGGGTGCAGTGTGGCTTTGAAGCTGAATTACCAGGGAAGCATCAGCCCTTCCCGAGTGTAGTAAGACCCTGGGATTCAGCACCTGAGCACATGGCAGCACCTTGGTCCCAGAGCTGTTCTGCCTGTCCAGCATTTAGGATTGGGAGAACATCAAGACTTTCTCTGGTCTATCCAACAGGCTGGGGTACGAGTCTTGTGGTAGCCACTGGTATGATTCAGCAGCTCCGTCGTTTGTGGTTGGTGATCCATTTAACATGGCAGAATAGGAACCTGGTTCATTTATTACCTCAAAACTCTACCGAGATTCATTGCCTGAAAGCTTTTTTTCTCTGAAGCTTTCCAGGAGGCTAACCTTTAGGGATGAATTCCTGTAAAAATTACTACTTAAATCTCACCTATTAAATTAACCAATCTTCCGAACTCTCTTGAAGTATTGCTTTTACTAATGAATAAACCGCAGGTTGGTCGCAGAGCTAGATTCACACCCAGGGAGCTTGGCTCCAGAGGCTTGTAACTACAAAACGATGCTTTAAAGCTAACTCAAAATAAAAATAAAAACAGTGCAATAAATGCTGAATCCTAGGTTGGCAAAACCTCCACAGACGTCTGAAAATAACCACGAAGAAAAATTTAATTGGCAACTTAAAAGTTGGAAATAGAGAGTACTACTTAAAGGAGTATCTCAGGTGAAGATTTCTAAAAATAAAGGTGGGGAGGCCCTGGCTACTGTCCTCTGGCTGAAGGCCCAGGTGCAGCACCCACAGGCCAGAGACAGCGCTGATCAAGGCAATGACTGGTGAGCTGACGGCCAGTCTCAGCCATCAGTGGGCAGCAGTCACAGCTACAGAGGTTCCCTTCAAAAACCTGGATTTGCATTATAGAAAGTCTTTCCCTCCCAGCTTTAGGAAGCTATATAATGGACAAATAAAAACTGTGTATATTTAAGATATACAACTTGATACTTTGCTATGCACTTTGAAATGATCACCACAGTCAAGCTAATGACCTTATCCATCACTCATATAGTTACCATTTTCTTCCTTTTTTTATTTGATAAAAACATTTAATTTACTTTCTGAGTAAATTTCAAATGTACATACAGTATTATTAATTACAGTCAAACATGATACACAATAGGACTCCAGAATATGTTCATCTTGCATAACTGAAACTTTAAAAAAACTTATCAGGGGATACATGTATCCCCTGTTTTTTCCCAATGACCCCTTTATAACCCATCCTCGTCCCCTGCCCCAGGCCTCCACTATCCTATTGTCTGTGTCCATGGGTTATGCATATATGCATACAAGGTTTTTGGTGGACCTCTTTTCACCCACCCATTCCCCAACCCCCACCTTCCCTCTGAGATTCGACAGTCTATTCCATGTTTCTATGTCTCTGGATCTGTTTTGTTCAACAGTTTATTTTGTTCATTAGATTCCACATATAAGTGAAATCATGTGATACTTGCCTTTCTATGATTGGCTTATTTCGCTTAGCATCATCCTCTCCAGGTCCCTCCATGCTGTCTCAAAGTGTAAGAGATCCTTCTTTTTTACCACTGCATAGTATTCCATGGTGTAAATGTACCACAGCTTTTTTATCCATTCATTCACTAGTGGGCACTTGGGTTGTTTCCACATCTTAGCTATTGTAAATTGTGCTGCTCTGAACATAGGAGTGCATACACTCTTTTTGATTGGTGATTCATGTTTCTTAGGATATATTTCTAGAAGTGGGGCTGAAACTCTGAACCCTTAGACCAATGTCTCCCCATTTCTCCCACACCGCAGCCCCAGACAACCCTAAGACTTTTAATTCTTAGTGTTGTTTACAGGGTAGAATGAAAGCGCATCTCTCTCCAGTTCCCTTCTGTATACCCACATTTGTGCCATTGTTTAAACAGGAGGGGGGTGAAAATTGAGTAATTCAGAATCAGAGATGATCTAGCCAACATATTCTATCTGTAAAAAGATTTTTGAACCTCTGACTCATGGGACATGAACCAAAGCCTTTTAGCCTCAGTTAAGCCTTAACTCTTCTTGAAATGGAAAACACTTGTTGACAGCCTATCGTCTTGCCTAAAATTCATGCTTTAAGTAATATTCTGAATATGCAGATGTTTGCATTTAGTTAACACTAAATTTTTTTAAAATTTTTATTATGATATAAGGAAAGTATTTCATTTTATTTTTTGTATACTTCAGTTTTACTGAACACATTGGAAGATTGTTTTAAATTTTGTTTAAATGTTCTTTGAACCATAATATTTACAGAACAGGGAGTTCTTCTAGCCAGCAAATTGTTCCATTTGTTGTGTTTGAGTGTGGAAACATTAGGAATGACAGCATAGATGATGCTGTAGAGCCTTTTCATAAACAACCTAATAGCATTGTCTAATGCGCTCTTTGTTTATCAAAGGTGTCAAAGACTCCTTTGCTATATTTAGGTAATCTCTAAATTTCTTTACTCAAGCATGGAAAACACTGTTTGTTTCTGCTTGGGAGGAAAGCAATATAACCAAATAAAATAATTACACTTAACTGGAAACAATTATTAAAAGAGTCTCAGTTTCAAGAAGGAAAAAAATTATAATTTTGTTCTGTGTTTTTTTAAAGGGGTACCAAAATTATAATATATTTAATACCGTTTGTAAAAATATTGTGTGTGCATTTCATGAAACTTTTAATTTATCACATAATTGTAGAGCAAATACATTTTTAATAACAACAACTAACACTTATGCTGGGAACTGTGCTTTCTATCTATATCCTGTTTTCTAAGAGCTTATGTTATATTTATTAACTGTTCATAATCGAGTTTAAGAAATATATATTTATATAATAGTTTTAATAAAGAAGCAGTATATATTGAAGTCAACATGGGATGGCCATCACAGGCAAGAATGAGCCCAGTGTTTGTGACCTTAGAGTTTAGGAATATTTGTGTTGCCCTAACCAGTTTGGCTCAGTGGATAGAGCGTCGGCCTGTGGACTGAAGGGTCCCAGGTTTGATTTCTGTCAAGGGCATGTACCTTGGTTGCGGGCACATCCCCAGTACGGAGTGTGCAGGAGGCAGCTGATTGATATTTCTCTCTCATCAGTGTTTCTAACTCCCTCTCCCTCTCCCTTCCTCTCTGTAAAAAATCAATACAATATGTTTTTCAAAAAAAGAGTATTTGTGTTGAAGAGTGAAGTTGGATGGTTAAGATTTGAATAGAATATATGTAGATCTGGAGTACTGTAATGACAAATTCACAATTTTAGATTTAATCTAAAAGGAATTACACACACATTCATGTAATATATATCTCCAAACAGATCCCTTGTTTCGCAATTAAGTTGTAATATAAATTAATTAGAATATTGAACTATATGGAATAAAAATCTCATTAGGTAAGTGTTTGTAATATATGTACCATTCCTTCTAAATCTAGTCTGGGATTGCCACTAGTAATTATCTCTTCACTTCTTCTTTTATCTTATTATTATTGCCCTAGTTCAACTCTTTTCTCTGTCACGTATAATAATTTCTTATTGCTTTCCTGGCCTCTAGTCACTCCAGGTTTTGTTAAACCTATTCTTTGTAACTGTCGTAATTTAACATGCTTCCAGAATCCTCCAACAAGCTAACCAACCTTTCAATTTTATTCCAACATTCTCTGCAATACATTCTTTGTGTAAGGAACGCCCCCGCCTACTTGCCTGTACGGGAATATATCCTGTGCCTTTTTAACATATTTTTCTTATCTGAAATAATTTCCCAATATCCCTATTTGCTAAAATAATACTCATTATTTATGGACTAGTTCAAATGCTTTTTCTCTTGATAACCTCATAAACTTCAGCCAGAATTATTTGTTTTTACATATGGTCCTTGGCTCTCTGTGTCTGCAGCAAATTTGTATTCATTTTTAACAAAGTTGTTTATGTTCATGTTTGGTCTTTCTATCTCATTTGGAAACTCTGTTTCCCCCCTCTATTTTTTCTCTCCTAGCATGTGAAAGTCACATCTGGGCCTCTGGGTCGTGCTGGCAGAGATCTCCAGCAAATCATCTTAGAGCAATGCTACAGTTTTGTTTGCGTGAATGTAAGTAGTAAATACAAATGACCGAAAGCACTTGGGGATCTTACACATGTAATGGGGAAGAGAATCTGTGTTTCTTGATCAGTAAATATTTGATTTTAAGATTTTGATAGGTGAGTTGTGTCATTTAATATGTACTTGGAAGTTTTATTTTTTATCTTTTGAAATCGGAGAATAACATTTTCTAACAAGCTAATTCTCATCATGAGAAGATGTTGATATTTCCTTGGACAGTATTTTCAGTTTTCTATTTTGTACTTAGTATAAAGCAGATAAGACTACACAGGTACAAATTAATAACTGGTACACATTTAATAGGTATAAACTTATGGGTGCTCTTTAAAATTGATTAAAAATTGAGCTTTATAAATATTTTGAGTGATTGTATAGAAGTTCTCATGTTTTCTCCTTGAATTAATTTTTAAATAATTTAAGAACTTCTTTTCACCTCCTTTTACTTTTCTGGTCTTTCAGGTTATGACCTCTGCATTTGAAGAAACCCAGAAACTACTGAATATGCTTAAAGAGAGTCATCTTTCTGTTTTGTATCCTGTTGTTGTTATTTCAGTAAGTGAATTAATGCAAACTTTTCTCTCCAAACATACACTTCCTTTTTGGAATTCAACTTTTTATTTAACACAATTCCATCAAACAGAGGAAATCCATTCAGACCCCACAGAAGAAACTCTTCTTTGTGGATTCTTAAACTTATTCTCTTACTATGAGTTCTATCGACTGCCTCTCCTTCTTTGGTTGAACTGACAGGTTTGGAAAACAATGTAATTCAACCTAGGAACCAATTTCATTTCTTTTTCTTTATTAAAGTCTCATAATGTATTGCTGCATTGAATAGCTGTTTGGATAATGTGAAAGAGCTTTATTTAGCATATTACCAGGATCCCATTAGAGAAGAAATCCTGAAGTTAAAAAAAAAATGAGAGGAAAAAACCAGATGAGAGAAAATTTACTCTTAGGTTGTTTCATCTTCTCTGTTACATAGACAGCAAAAGTAGAGTGAGCAACAGATCAAAGAGAATTCCCAGAAGAATAGCCCATACAACTTTTGGAGAGATCTTTCTGTGAAAGACTAAAAGAATTTACTTGTGTAGCAGAGGGGAATATCTGAGAGCAAAACCAAGAAGAATGAAAACTAGAGGTGAGGCCCGCCACACTACCTGAGGAGCCCAATCTGATCTGTAGCATTTTGCTGTGGGAAGGGGTTCCCAACATGAAATTCTCCAAACAAGTGCTTAGCAATTGCCAAGTTCCTAAAGCTCAGGCCTGTTCCATAGTGTGGAAATCTAATTCTTGTTAGTAAGAGCATTAAGACAGAATAAAGATAATTCGCACTATAAAGACGCAACTCTAGACTAAGCAGTGCAAGTAGAAACAAATTAGCAATTGAAGGAGGTTTAATTCACTGCCCTGTTTGTTGTATTTGGTTATATGCCCCAAGGATAAGTTGCTTGGGTCCTGCTGATTATGGAAATCTAAGTTCCACTTGACTGATTTTAATAGATGTTTTAATTGAAGTTTTTTAAGAACGTTATGAAAATGTACCCAGTGCTGGCAGGCTCTAAGGCTCTGTAGGATAGTGGTAAGTTCAGAATTCTGTGTTTGGCTCTCTGTTCTTTTCTCCACATTATAACTTGCTTAGAAATTTCATTTGGTCCATGTTCCCAAATATTATTCTGAAAAGGCAGTACAGTGCTGTGATGAGGGCAAGGCCTGGATCTCAGAATACCTCAGTTCCCTGATTAGATTTCTTAACTTTTATGAGGCTACTTTCTTCACTTTAGAAATGAGGCTAATAACCCTACCCCTTAAATCTCTTAGGATTAAAATGAGTGCATGCAAAGTTTAGTTGACATCACAGTACTGGGCCCTTGGCAGGAACACAATGTTAGTTTTATTTAATAGTCTAGCTCCTTTTATTTCCAGTTTGGATGAGATGACTCAAAGTGTACTTGCATTGCTTTAATCTGATTCCCCAGCTTCAGTCATACATTTTTCAACATTCTATTAAGTACTTCCTTGGCTATCTTCTCACACCTAGTATATCCGATCTATCCCCCATCAAGTTGACTTTCTTAGTGGCAATGCCCTTGTGGCAGGCACCCAGGTGGGTGGGAATCTGTGTCACTTCTGAAATTTTGTTCTACCTCTGTCTCTCTTTATCAAACACACATGCACAGATAGTTTTTAAACTGTTAGTTCTTCTGTTTCTTTTCTACTGTTGTATCTCAAACTCAGTCCTTTGTATTGCTTCTGTAAATATTTGAATTTAATTTTCTGTTGGCTTCTGTTGCATCCCTTTTTATGTATCAGAGTAAATGCAAGAATTTGTGTGACTACCTGGTGTTCTGTATCAAACTAGGGAACAGATGGACAATCCTCTATTTATAGAGGAAACTAGTGGCCCTGTGCTCATATCTGTGCACGAATCCATGTGCAAATCAGTGTGCGAGTAGCTCACTGCCACTTGCCTCAGTTGGCCATCCCGCCCACCACAGCTATAGCTCTCTGCCCCACCTTCCTGTACCTCTCCTCTGCTTGTAGCGAAACGACCCTTTGCATGTTACCTCTTTATTATATAGGATGTCTTTCAGAACTAGTGTGAATATCATAAGTCTGTATACTGTAAATCTACATTCTATAAACACTATAAAAATTTATGTTAAATTAGAGAATTGTCACTCCAATTATTATAATTAATATTTGTTCACCTGTTATTTTCTTATTGCACAGGTAAACTCAGTGTGCTGATATTAAGGTTATTATTAAAATCAACAAGAAAATGTCACTGGAATATATCTAGAATCTATATCCTTAGGATGGAGCAAATCACTGGGAAAGTAGGGTAAAGAATGGATATTTACAATAGTTAGATTTCATTTCAGGTTCTGCATGGGTTTTGATTGTTATAATGTCAACTTCTCTCTGGCTTTTATGAAAGTGAAATGGGTTAGGAAACAGTAAGTGTAGAAGGTTTTTTTTATGTCTAAGATAAACTGGTTGTAGGTAGAGGCTACTTAAAGAAAGGAACAAAACTTTTCTTGAAGAGTAGAAAAAAATAATTGGGACTTTATCCTAAAAGAACTAGTATATTTATTTAAATTATTCTATTTTATCTTCTATTTAAGAAAATTAGGTTATGTTTGCAAAAATGAAAATTTTTTGCATAATCTTGTAGACAATATATGATAATGTGATTTTCTTCAAGTGATCATTTCTGAAAAATATTTTGGACATATTCAGTTTGTAAACATTTCCTTTATTAATACTTTGATTATCAACATGCTCTTTTGGACTTCTATTCTTATTTTCTTTTTATATATTTTAAGTTGTGTAATTTTGCCAAGTTCTTATTTGTTGATGGTATTGAATATGATTGAAGGAATTTACCAATGTTAATTTGATCAACTTAATGACATCCTATGTCTTGGTAGATGTAACTTAATTTCATTGTAATTATATTGAATTATCAGAATTTTCCAAATTTCTGCAATCAGCTCGAGACTGACTAATGGGACTGTTGACGATTTTGGCTAAACTCCATGCCAGCATTAAAGTGAGCAGACATAGTTTGATGGGGTCACTTAATAAGTGCTCTGTTTCTCAGAGAATCTGTGAGGGTCTGTTTTGTATCCTGTGCAGTCTTTTAACTTCAGGCCTTTGGAAATACATACTGAGATAACAAGCACACCTTGTACTAGGAGAATATGCCCTACTTGAAAGAAAAACAACACTTTTTAAATTCGAGACTGATTGGCATAAAGGAATTTAAAAAATTTCGAATCCTTTCTATGTCTTTTAACAAGAACACTTTATGAACATTGAAAAACAATACTTTCTTTCGTACAGTTAAATAGTGCAGCAATTATGTTTGAGAGTCCTTTTCAGATGTGATTTCTGAAGCTGTTTAGTCCTGTTAAGGATGGAGCCAGAGTCCATCCTGAGTTGACTGAAGTTACTCTTAGCCTTCTCTTCTTTGTGGCTACCAAGGGGTATATAATATTGCTAACACCTTTCAGTTGGCAACTCTCAAGGGTATTATCTGGAAGCTCTTTTTGAAATCACCTGCTACAATAGCCATCAACCTGGGACATGCTCAGTTTTCTCTTTTCTATTCCTATCATGTGTTTTGTTCACTACTTCAATAATAATGAACAGATATTTAGAAAAACAATATATTGAATTTATCAAAATAGTATTAGGGAATTTCATAAAATTTCTGATATAAAAATCACTTGAAAGAACATAGGCTTTTGTCTAAATTAAACAAAACTCAAAAGTGCCAAGAGTGAATTATAGGCTGAATTCTTGGCTGAGAATGATTTGTTATTTTGTGTGTGACAATGAATAAGAGAGTTTCAGGAGACAAAACTAACTACATCTGTTTTTCTAGTCAAGATTATGAAAGCTCTGAAAAATACCTCCACAGGTTTAGAAAGTAAAATAGGGATTCTAATTTATTTGGATCTGGTAAGATTTTTACAAAATATCTCTTGGTACTACTATCAGATGAGACAGTGAACAGTATATTCTTATTTAAAGCTTATATTTTTTTCAATGAACATAGCCCAAAATAATTGGCAACAAATCTAAATAGAAAGTTCAAAATTGAAACAAACTCTTTAATTTTACTTAATGAAGTAGTCTATCACTCTTCCACAGCAAAATAATTTTACAATAACTATTTGGACAGTTACACAAGAGTTCTTTCCTCTGATGATTTAGACAACTTTATTGGTGCTTTATGAGAGATAAGAATCTCCTCATGAATTCCCTCCAACAAAACGTAAGTTATCATGTGGGATTTTAATGCTTTGAAAATTTTAAATAAACCTTCAAAAGTGCCTAATTTGGTTCTAGTTACTGGAAAGTAGTTTATTGACATAACAGATCAGAATATGTGATATTTAAAATATTTCAAAATGTTTACTATTTGAACATGTCAGCAAATAAAAAAATAGAAAACCATCATCCATTGGCACTTGATACTTTTCACATCTGGGGGAACTGTCACAGAGATGTAAATTGTTTCCAGAAGGTTCTACAACTCACCAATGGCAAAGCCAGGAACAGAATCAATCCAATATGCAGTGTATCAAATACACTTGTTACTTTTATGTGTTAAATAATAAGATGGAACAAGATTAAAAATATACATATACACACATATATGAATTTAATATTTCTTCCTAATAAAGAACAAATGACAATTGAAAAAGCATATACATTCCTTCTTTTAAGTGCTAATGAGTTCTTACTTTAGCTTCACAGGGTATTGAGCCTTTATTGAATTTAATTTTTAAACCATGTGATCCTGTTAAGTTTCTTACATGTATCTTTTTCAACTTTTACTTAACTCTTTGTTATGTGTGTGTCCTCCTGTTAACCCTATTACCACTAGGCTAAGAAAATGTGTTATTATGGCACAAGTTCTTATAAAACAAACAAAGAGACCTGTTGTAATTCTTACTGCCTCCATATTGGATTTATTTATATCTATATGCTTTTATATTATACTTCTATAATTAATGATATATTTATACATATGTATT